TGAAAGGATACGGTTGGCTCTCAAGAGCCCATTTCCACACTTGCAATCTTGATCCAAGCTCATTGACCCTCCGTCAATGTTAAAAGTACCAAAACCGTAGACCTCACTTTACTTCCTTTCCTTCCACCAATCATACCCCAACCGGGCCCGCACTCCATTCAGTCACTTTTGGTAATACTCGAGTATACCGGAACCAAGAGTCTCATTACTACAAGGTCCCTCAGTACAGTCCCCGTGGCAAGACAATTTTCACGACCAAGCCCTCGCTGGCTCGATCCAATTAACTACCATACGGGGTTGAGCTCATAAATGCAGTAAAGCCATTGGATACTCGTCCAACGACATCAAATCAGTTTCCATGAGTGGAATTCAGTATTTCATATAACCAGTACAGTATTTCAGTGAACAGTCATTAACCATGAATAAAATCACAAGGGGTGAGGGCGGTCAAGTACACCCTCACCTTAATCACTTCCAATAAGCAAATAAGCCTTCAAGGCATCAATTACACATATAACAAAGCCACATTGTAACATTTAAGTGAGTAGTATACTCACAAATCAAATAAGTGCTATTTCATGCACTTCCGTCAGGGGAATGTCGTGAACCACCGTCACGCCCTAGAACAAGTAAACAAATGCAATGAGACTCGATAACGAGTCATATAGCAATGCCAATCACAACCCCAATAGGGTTTTATAAACATATACAAGCATGATAGCAAACCAGGAATTAAGAAAGGCCTTAAACTTAGGCCTTGGAAAGAAAACCGGATTCGACCTCATAATGCGGTAATGGCACAACTCTCACTACGATTATCGGATGGGGGTGTAAGACCCACCGCTTCGAAGCTATGGAACAGGGCTACAACAATGAAGAAGGTCACTCAATCCAGTTCCTAGCTTAACTAGGTCGAAAATGCCAAATACTATACCAGAATTACCAAAACAGGTTTGCAAATCACACAAAACTGTAATTACTATAACTTAGTCTATACAAGTCCAAATGCCAAAATTCCAAAGGCATATGTTAGCTAAGACATCCAGCTACATTTCATCAGAAGACACCAACAACTAAATCCAAACCAATTCCAGTCAAAATGGCCAATAACCAGTACAGTTTTCGCATTCTGTCCAAAGCAGAACAGATACAGTATTTTCGTCATAACTCATTCCACATTAATCCAAATGACCTAAAATTTTACAGGCACCTCAAACACATCAATACCTACAACTTTCATGTTTTGAGCAAAGTCAAATTCGGCCTCTAATCCTATGATCCAAAACCGGACAGAATTGGGGATTTAAGAACCCTAACTTTTCAGTTTTCATTCCAAATCCAAAATTGGTTGCATTTATCCACATTTCACACCCACTAGAGTTATTATAGGCCATTGCCAATCATCACAAACAACCACACCATCATAATCCAATTAAACCAGAAAAATCATCAATAAATGGAAAACTTCACCAAATCACTTCAAGTCAAGATAAAACCAGAAATTTCAGCACTTTAATCACTAATAAGCATAACTTAAGCATCATTAGATGTAGGAGGAAGATACACACACCACTCACCTAGTAACAAGAGAGGTAGAGGTGTTGGACACCTTAGCTCTTCCAAAAACTTCACCAAATCAACCACTAACACCAACTAGAAAGATTTTATGGAGTAGAAACTAGTTTAGTTGGTGGAGTTATGGATTGAAGCAAGAAGAAATCAAGACTTGAAGAGGTTTTCTTCCTTCCTTGAACTTGAGAGAGAGGGCCGGCCAACAAGAGAAGAAAAATTGTGAATTTTATGCAATTTTTGGATATTTAATCCTTTGGTCAAAAAAGTCAAAATTGTGAATAGTAAATCTTAAAGGAAAACCAATAACATGGTGACACTTGTCACTCTATTTAATGCATTCTTATCACTTCTTTTCTCTCTCACATCAATCACTTCACACACTCTACTTATCTCTTAACACCCGATAAAATTTACACAGTATCCGGAATTTAACCTAATTGGCCGAATTTTTCCGAACTTTTCGTACTAGTGGGTCCCACGTCCAATATATATTCTTAATTTTTAAAAAACTCACCAATACTAGAAAAATCATCTAAAAACTATAATTGCTCATAAAATCAACCCAGAAAATGTTTCTAAGCCAGAAAATGCAAAAATTATGCAATTAAGGGAACTAAAACCCTAGGAAAATTTTTAGGGTATTTACGGGTTCTCACATTACTATACCAGCCACAAATGATACTGACCCAACTACGAGCCCGTGCGACCCTATTGATGCTAAGATGGGCCATATGACTGGGGAGCACCCTGAGGTGGAATGTATGGACACAAGTGAGGGCCCAGGTCAAAGTAGTGGGACGAAGCTCAACGATACTTTAGTTCAAACCCAATCAACACCTGATAGACCAAAAGCTTACCTCCAGATACATCTAGGGAACTCTTCTACTAGCCAGAAGCAAATTCAAAACAGAAAAGAAATCAAATGCACCAGAAGACGGAGTAGAAACCTGCAAAAAAGAACCCCCCTTAAGACGGATAACAATACAACATCAGGGGAAACAAGCAAGAGGAAATTTGCTCTCAGAGATGAGGATGGAGATTACATGCTGGAGGATGAGCAACCTGAGAAAAAATATAGAACATCAGCAGACACTTCGGAGAACCAAGACTCAAAGGTGGTGGAGGCCAACCTCAAATGGTCTCCAAGTACCATATGAGAGTTTTGGCATGGAATTGCCAAGGTGCAGGGAGCCCCTTGGTTATTCCCTATCTGAAGGAGGTAATCGGCCTTCACTCCCCTAACTTAGTTTTTCTCTATGAAACTAAGAATAAAAATAATTTTATGGAAAAATTCAAAAAAAAAGATTAGGTATGACAGGTTATTTTTTGTGAACCCCATTGAAAAGGCAGGATACTAGCAATTATGTGGAAAAATGAGTTGAAGATAGAAAAAATTCTGTTCACTCATATCACCATTGAAGCTAAGAAACCGGCGAGTAATGAAAATGATGGATGGTGGTGTGTATGCTTCTATGCAAGTACAGATGACCAAGTGAGGAGAGCGTAGTGGGAATTCTTGAAGCATAGAAGATAGATATGGGGAAAGAATATAGTCATTATTGGTGATTTCAATGACATCATTTCTAACAATGAGAAGTGGAGTGGAAGGACTAGGAGTAATTGATCTTTCAAGGACTTTAGGGAGTTCATCAACATTAATGAGTATGTTGATCTGGGTTATGAAGACCCCTTGGACATGGAGTAATTCATGGGACAATGGAAGATCAATTAAGGAAAGACTGGATTGGGCTTTAGGAAGTGGTGCATGGGTCACTGCATACCTGACAGCTAAGGTAGTGCATATAGAGAACCAAGCTTCTGACCATAGTATGGTACTCGTAGACTCAAATCCGGAACATAAAAAGACAAGGAGGGGGTTTCACTTTGATGCACGATGGCTCCAGTATTGTGAGGTAGAAGGAATTGTGAGAAATGCTTGGAATAAGCAGATAGAGGGTTCCAAAGGGTTTAAGGTAGCTAAGAAGGTGAAAGAATGTAGAACTGCTCTCACTAGATGGAACAAGGGGATTAATAGCAACAGTAAGAAGGAGATCAAGAAACTGAAGGAGGAGTTAGAGCACATGCAGAAAGGCAATGGTGGTAATAAGTTAAATATAGTTGATGGAATAAAAAAGATGCTTTTTGAGGCCTACAAAAAAGAGGAACAATTCTGGCACCAAAAATCAAGAATCAAATGGCTTAAGGAAGGGGATCAGAATTCAGCTTATTTTCATGCATGCGTGGCCACCAAGAGAAAAAGGAACAGGATATCCAAAATTCAAAAAATTCAAGGTGGATGGTGTGAAAATGATGCAGAAATTGGGGAGGAAGTGTCTAAGTACTACAGTAAGCTGTTCACATGCTCACAGCCTGATGACTTTGAGGAATTTATGAATGGCATCCCCAGGACAATAACATCTGAGATGAACTTGCAGCTCACCAAACCTATCACAGAAAAAGAAATCAAAGCAGCACTTTTTTCCATGCATCCTAACAAGGCACCAAGACCCGACTGTATGTCACCCATCTTTTTTCAAAGATTTTGGACTATTATTCGTAGTGATTTAGTGGAGTCAATTCAAAATTTTTTCAATACTGGGCACATGTTGAAAGCCTTTAATGAGACATTGATCACCTTCATCCCCAAAATTGATACTCCTATCAATCTTTCCCACTACAGGCCCATTAGTCTTTGTAATGTTGTCTACAAAATCATTGCTAAAATCCTAGTTAATAGACTCAAGCCCTTGTTAGGTGGGTGTATCAGTCATTCTCAGGCGGCTTTTGTCCCCGGGAAGACAAATTATAGACAACATCATTATTGCACATGAGTACATTCACTGGCTTAACAATAAGAGGGGAGGTAAAGATGCGTTTATGGCTCTTAAGATTGATATGTCGAAAGCTTACGATAGGGTTGAGTGGAAGTTTTTGTTTGCTGTCATGAGTAAAATGGGATTCTGTCCCAGGTGGATTAAATGGATTCATGGCTGTTTGTCATCCATGTCTTTTAGTTTCAACATTAATGGGGAAAAACAAGGCTATGTGCGTCCCACTAGGGGAATTAGACAGGGAGACCCTCTATCTCTCTATCTGTTCCTTTTTTGTGCAATAGCTCTCTCTCGTACCCTTAAGCAAGCCACTGAGGATAACAGAATTTCTGGGATCAAAATATCCAGACAAAGTCCTACAATCTCTCATCTCTTTTTTGCTGACGACTCTCTTATGTCTTGTAAAGCTAATATTGGTGAAGCTGAAGAGATCATGCGAATTCTCAAGTGCTATGAAAGGGCCTCGGGGCGCAAATAAACATTGAAAAATCATTGATTTTCCTTAGCAAAAATATTTTACACACAAAAGCAGAAGCTGTCCTAAGACCACTTGGCAACATCCAACTTGTCACTCAAGGCAAATACCTGGGCTTGCCTATGGTGATAGACAGATCAAAGAACAGTGTCCTTAGGTTCATCAAAGAGAAAATGTGCAAAAAACTGCAAAGTTGGACAGGTAAAATGCTGAGTTCTGCGGGCAAAGAGGTATTACTCAAATATGTGGCCCTTGCTCTCTCTTCGTATGCGATGTCCATCTTCAAATTACCTGCTGGACTTTGTAAAGAGCTGTGCCAAATGATGGCTAAATTATGGTGGGGAAGTGATTCTGGAGAAAAGAAAATGCATTGGAAAAGCTGGGCTAATATTTCTAATGTCAAAGGGAAAGGAAGACTTGGGTTCCGGGATGTTCAATGCTTTAACACCTCCTTACTAGCCAGACAAGTTTGGAGGATGCTTACTAATCCAAACTTGTTGGTTATTAAGGTGGTAAAAGGAAGGTACTTCCCTAAATCCTCTATTCTTGATGCACAGGTCAAAAATGGAGCTTCATGGATCTGGCAAAGTCTGCATAGTTCAATTGGGATGCTGAATAGTGGACTAAGGAAGCAGGTTGGGGATGGCACCACTATTGCAATCTAGAAGGATGGTTGGCTCAAAACTAGCTTAGGTAAAACCTCCACACCAAAGCCACACAACTGTCCGGTTGACAAAGTCTCGAAATTGATTCATGACCACAAATGGAATTCGGGCATCATAAACTCCCTTTTCTCTCCTGAAGAGACCAAACTAATCATAGCAATCCCACTGAGCTTATTTGGAGGGAAGGACAGGTACACTTCGTGCAGCAGTGCCAATGGTGAATACAATACCAAAATTGGGTATGTAAAAGCCAAGGAAAGGATCAAAAGAAACAACAACAGGTCCTTGCAACAGGATAGCACCAGCAGAAATAAGCAGAATTCCAGAATTTGGCATCATGTTTGGGACCTCAACATTAAGCACGAGATTAAACACTTCCTGTGGAAATGCCTACATGACATCCTTCCCACCCATGAAAGTATATTCCGATGAACAGGGAAAGGAGAACCTTGGTGCAGAGGCTGTGGAGAAAGTGCAGAAACATTAGAACACCTCCTTTTCTTTTGCAGGACAACTGAGCAAATTTGGAAAACCTTCCCTATCAAACGGGATGGTCTAGAGCATTTGAAAGGGAGCTTTTGGTCATGGTGGGAGAGCCTGCAGCAAGCTAGAGAAAGGGCAGATGGTAAAGCTCATATTGAAATGACAGCCAATCTACTCTGGCATATCTGGAAGGCGAGAAATAATTTGAACTTTAACCTGTGCAACCAGGAAGGGTATCGGATCTCCCAATATGCCATCGCGGATTAGCTTGAGTTTAAAGAGGCAAACCTCCTAAACACATGTGACAAGCAAGAAAACAGTGCTGAGCTTGATAGCAATGACAACATTGTTGCTGTACTCCAACAACAGCACTCGACTACCATGTATGTTGATGCAACAGTGGACCAGCGAAGAGATAAGTTTGGCATTGGTATAGCAGCTAAGGATAATGAGGGAAATCTAATCTCTACATGGACAATCCCAACCGCAGCTAAAGGAGAGGCTGCAATCATGGAAGCTCATGCTCTCAGAACTGCCTTGCTCAAAGCATTGAAGAAAAATTGGACGTCCATCTTGGTACTTTCTGATTGCAAAGTTCTTGTTGACAAATTGAATCTTAGGAATGAGGACCTATCTGACATAAACATTATCTTGAGAGATATCAGGACATTGAGTAGGTCTTTTTGGTGTTGTTGTTTCTCTTTCGTTAAGCGAGAATGCAACACTTGTAGTCATGGTTTGGTGAAATTCGCCACTAACCTTTTAAACGAAACTAGGTGGAAGAGTATCTTCCCTGTGTAGACCTCTATGGCTACACAAAGTGATCATCTGGCAGTTGCCAGCTAAAATGTACATGTACTTCTAGGTGTCAAACATCTGATGATATAAATGAATGACTTTTGACAAAAAAAAAAAGGAACATATTCATGGCAAAGGATATAGGTTGCTCTCAGGAACAAGTTTCACAGTAGTTTGATCAAGGTTCATTGACTCTCCGTCAACCACGGAAGTATAACGTCCGTGGATCTCTACTTTACACCAATTTCTGTCCACCAAACATATCCTTTGCCGGGCCCGAACGCCAAACAGAAGCAGAGGTGGTAATACTTGAGTATACCAGAAATCCAGAGCCTCCAATACTCAAAGATTCCAAAGAAACAGGCCCCCATGGCTTGTCAATTTTCCTTGACCAAACCCCTTGCTGGCTTGATTCAATCAACTACTAATGAGGTTGGACTTATAGTCCCAGATATTCAGAAATTCAGGATATGGCTTAGCCTCAAGTCAGGGATTCTGTCCCTGGCGGTGCTGGACAGCACAACAGGCTAGCATAATGGCTATACCTCACCAGAGGGCCTCGGTTCAGGATTTCGTCCCTGGCGGTGCTGGACAACACGACAGGCTAGCACAACGGCTATACCTCACCAGAGAGTCTCGGTTCAGTCGTTACCAACTTACATTCATGCATACGCATGAGTAACCCTAGATTCCCCTTACCCGACGTATCGGATAAGGTCTAAGGCCCAGTTCAACAGCTACAAGAGGGTAGTAGCCGGTCTACAAACATGCACATAAACATGCAAGTCCGCATGCGGGATCAATTGATTCATGTTCATGGAGGCCGAGTGCGAATAAGGAAACACTCGCCTGGTCAGAATCCAGTTACAGGTAATGTCCAGAAATTCACATTCTCAAGTACTCCAAGTATTTCAAGTCAACATACAGGTCATATACAAATCAAATTACTTGCTCATGCGTAAATGATATATCAAATATTCAGTCAAGTCAGATCAATTGAGTGTACATGAGAGCATACTCGCCTACATATTCAAGTCACAAATAAGCTCAGTATAGCATGTTTCAAGCATTTCCAAGTATTTCAAATCTACCATTGAAAATCGGGTGGTGAAGAACCCTGATCAAACAAGAAAACTGGGAGAAAGCTACAAAAATTAGAAATTTTCTCAACAAATTTTGAAGGCCGGATTGCCAGGGATATTGGCCGGATTCAAGGCCGGGTGATGAGATATTGGCTAGATTCAAGGCCGGATTGCCAGGGAAAAACTAAAAAATTTTGAAGCTCACTGCCTCAAATCCAGTCGAAAATCCGTCTAGAAAATAGCCGGATAATGGCTAGGCTTTAGCTATAACAAATCGGCCGTACATGTTTGAACAAGATGTCAAAAGTTTAGTCGAACTAGATCAAGTGTGACAAAGTACACGCTTGCCTATGAGATGATAAATCCAGTACCTAGCATTCTCTAACAACAATAAGCATGTAACACGTGAGTCGGTGGGATAACCATCCGAGTGACCAACAAGTTAAGTGCAAGTAAAGTAATTCATTTCATATCAATATCACGAAGTGAACAACAAAGGATCAAGTATCATAAAGTACATCCTCGTCCCAAAGGTTATCAATTCAAGAACAAATACGTTAACCAAGTAAGCATGTCATTCAAGTAAGGAGACATTCCACGTAAATATTTTCATATACTTGGAGCACTCACCAATCAATCGTCACCCTTCACTTTATCCCTGGTTCGTCCTCTTGAACTCACTCGAGTCCTGTGGTCATATATCATATTAAAAAGCTAGCAATACAAAGCCAAAATACATGAAGAAGTTAAGGTTTCTAAAACTTTATTTCCTTTCACTTAACCCTCAATTCCACTCATAAACCATACCCAAAATGATTGACCAACTCCAAACTTAAAGTGGGAAATGAAAGTACAAATGTTTCTAAGAGAACAGAATTTCTCAGCTTTGCGCAACACTATTAGAAAAATCATATCTCAAGCTTCTTAAGTCCAAAATTGATAAGCTTTATACCGTCAAAAAATAGATTCAAAGAATTACAATTTCCCAGAAGACACCTTTGTAAGATTCAGACCAAAAGTCAGTCAAATTCCGGTCTCAATTTGCTACTTCATCCAGTAAAAGACAGAACAGGTATGCAATTTCAGTCAAGTTTGAAAAATCATAGATATTCATAGGAATTAAAAAAAAGGCTGGAATTTTCATGGTTGATAGTACTCTGACTCTAGTTTCAAACGCAAGAAACGAAACTCAATTCTGACTTTTCTACATCATGTTATAACAGATTTCCCAAGACTGCTCAAGGGTTCCTGCAGAAAATTTCAACAGCACTTCCCCTTGTTTTCTTTACTTTTCCATCCGAAAATCAGCACCCAATGTTCTCTCAATTTAACCCCAATCACAACCACAAGTTATAACCTATCTATACATTGATTTTAGGCCACAATACCATCCAAATATAGCACATATATAGCTCAAGTATCACCCATACTAAAGCTGAAAATTGGAAACCCTAGGTTAGAACTCATGATCACAAGCTAGGAATTTCTATTATAAGTCCAAAGAAGCATATAAAAGCTAGCTAATTCACATGGCAAAGCTACCAAAACATGGACAATCCTTAAGCATCATATATGGACAAAAAATTCACCATAAAAACTGAAAATTTCACATCACAACTTCAAACCATGAAATTTCCTTACAAAGCTACCAAAATTACAACCCTAAGCCACTAGTTTACACATATATAAAGTAGAGGGAAGTTTCTTGCCAAAGTTACCTTAAACCCTATGCAAAGAGGCTTCCAAGACCATCCTCTTCCCAAATCACTCCACCAAAACCCTTAAGCTTCCTTATTGATCAACTTTTGTGGAGGAGTTTGCAAGATTATCGGTTGAAACTCACAATTTAAGCTAGAAATTGAGGTTGAAGATGAAGTTTTTCCTTTCCTTTTTCCCTCTCAATGGTTCGGCCAAGCTAGGAGCAAAATAGAATGAATTTTGGTCAAAATTTGATTTTATTAAAGAGGTAAGAAAGTCCTTGGTCAATGTCAAAAGTCCAATAATTGAAAGACAAGTGTTTAGTCAGGATTAACCCTTATCTTATTGTCTTCCAAAGACTAAATATCTAGGTAACCTCTAATTATCCATTAGCACCTTATAAATAATATTCTTTAATGCAAAACTCCACCTAGTTTTCAAAAATTGATAGCACTTACCGCATTAGTGGGTCCCACGCCCATAATATATTTCAAACTTAACATGTACTAACTTATACTAGGAAAATGATTTAAAAACTTGACTCACTTATAAAAATATCAAGGAAATTAAGGCAATAATTTAAAGTAAAGAAAATGCATCCAAAGAAATAAATAAAATACAACTTAATCTTCCGGGTCCTCACAAGGCGTACCAAGTTATCCAAAATATTTGAAAATGACAAAAAGCAAATAAAACCCTTTTAGACGTCTCCAAATCTTCAAAAACAAAAGAAAAAAGTTTGAGAGTTGCAGTTGAAAAAAAGGGTAAGCAAAGATTTTGATTTAAAGCACGTTTTCAATTGAAATAAAACAATTTAAAACTTAAAATGAACAAAATGAGTAAATAAAGAAAAAGCACTTAAACACATGCAATCACATGTAAAAACAAAGCACATAGGAGCACATAAAAGAATTTAAAATAATAATACAAGGTACCTCT